TCTAAGGATGAAAGTTGTTATCTAGGATATATTCGTATTATCAAACAACTTGATTATATGGGGTTGGGATTTTTATTACGTTATGTGCTATGTTTTAAACATTTGCGTATTAGGTAGGTCCAGTGACTTCAGACTACAATTACCTAAGCTAATAAAAATTTTTAATGAAGATTAACTATCATAATGTATGTCACAAAGAATTCTTGAATAGTTCTTGCGGAGGAAAATTTACTACGCAATGAAAGAACACAATTTGCCAACTAATAGTAATTAATTATTATATACAGATAATTAATCCAATTAATATTTACAAAGGTACACAGCACTTTTACGTGTCAATGGTTGTAAAGAATTTTACAATATCTATTTTACATGAGAAGCATACATATTACAGGTTTCTGTGCATCGTTTGCCCAATATGAGCCCAATATAAGCATGATACGACTCGTATTGAATTGCGATCAATTTTTTATGCAAGGGCCTATAAATTAATATTATAATTATCGACTATCACATAATAGTTACGAAAATCTTAGTTGTTATTCTTCTATATTTATATATTTTGCAATGTGTATAAGACCGGTATTTTATTGATTACTATAATTTCAAGACTGATCGGTGTTGGTTCTTTGTATATTGCTCTCTAATACGAATCAAAATAGTCATGTTCCTCCATTTTAGCTTAATATCAGTCATTCATTGCGATGAATAATTCGCAATAATATTACCTATGAAAACAAAAGTAAATAAGTCCAAAAGAATAATTATAGATTTGTACTTACGAAATCAGTGAAAAAGTACATTCATATGGAATCAAATTATATGTAATTAATTTTGTTATTTAAATATAAGTTGGAATCCCATTATATATAACATAGCAAATTTTTTGTCAAATATTTGTTTTATTTAAAAATCCACAAGTTTAAACATGCATTTTTAAATAAAAAATTATTTGAAATTATATATTAATTTTTTTATTGCAATGTAAAACTTTATGTTATTACTATTTCTGAAATATATCAGTTTTACAAAATTTATTTTATTTATTATGACGACATAAAAATATTAAAATCGATTATTTTGGATTTACTCTTCTGATATTCACTCTACTTTTTAAATGCACACCACACATGCCAAACTACATGTCGTTTGCAAAATCTGACTAGTGTCTTATAATATAGATATATGACAGTGTCAAGTTACATAGATATATGTACTTGTGAAGAAGTAGAAAAACAAACTTTTAAAATTGGATGGCTGTTTGTTATTTTGATCTAAGGGAGCAATATTAAAGAGGATAAAACTAGTTGAAATGCGTTAACTACATTTAGTGATTGTTTGATTGATTTTTGTGCAAATCAAATCGTTTGCTAATACGAGTTTCAACTTTTATTAGTTTTAAAAAAAGCGACCAATCAGGAATGACTAGTAAAGTATTAAAAAAACGTTATGTGAAAATTTATGAATATTTCGATAACAAAATTTAAATTTAGATTAATGCGGCAAATTGTGCAAAAAAATGTTAGAATGTATTACATATACATGTGTGTATTATGTATTATATATATGATGGAGTCTATTTAAAGAATATTAACCCTTTGTACTCGAAGTATTTGTTATCCGACAGTATCAGGGATATTTCGTGTAGTGTGAGTGTGCAAGTAATTTTACCTTATGTTACTTCTAAAACATTGCTCAGCTAAGATTATAACTCGTTGGCAATTAATGTAAGAAGAATAACCAGAGGAAAATATCACTTCAGTACATTAAATTTTGACAGAAGATATTCAACTAACTCTAGAAAATATACATTGTGCATTAATAAGAACAATCTCAAGTTGAAAACAATCGCAGATATGAACGTGATAAAATAAGAAAAAGGATGCTGTGTATGTGTGTGTGTGTATATAAAAAAAATATATATATTGTGAATACGTGAATCATTAAAATAGATATAGTGTTACAATGTACTCGAGTAGCGTGGAAGTGAAAGTGAAATGTGGTTGATAAAAAATATGATTCAGTTTTCGTCACAAGGTTCTACTCAGAAATGGAATTATGCATCATGATTAAGAGATAGAACGAATTCGTTATTGCGTGTATAACTTTGTATGGGAAGATTTGTAACTTGTAAATGTGACGTTTTACAACTCTAATCTATAACTTAATAAGGATAAACCAGAAAGTCAGAATATCTGTGAGGAGTAAATTTAATTCTTTGCAATAATATATCGTACTGGTGTCGTGACTAGGCGTAAATATTTCAGAGATAGATTCTTTTGACATTGACATATCGAATTTATTTAAAAGGAATATTGAACTGATTTTAACAATTGATACAATAAAAAATAAAACAATTCAGAAAAACTACAGTTTTTTTCACATGATGATTTATTAAATTTAAATTAATTTAACAACATTCTTTTTCTAAAATTTGAAGAATAGTAAATCAACATATCTAATGTTGTATCTAGAAGAACTCTCTTAAGATTTTTACTGAAGGAAAGTCGATGTTGATCTAGAAAAAAATCTATCTCTAAAATATATGTTCTGTTATTCGCGCGTTTTACAACACTCAGTGTATTCTGACGTGTTTTTGTAATACTGCAACCTTTACATATAGTATTCCTATTGCAGGCAATATTCAAGCACAAAGGGTTAAAATGTTTTTCGTTATGGTCTATGTATGGAAATAGAAATGCATCGGTAGCCTTCAATAATCGACTCCATCGTTCATCTGTCAAATTAGTTAAATTTAGTATCGTGCGTAAATCTTTAATACACATATAAGCAGCGATTGTATGTTTAGTTTCCTCTGTCGTCTTCACTAAGTTTACTTGTTTTATAAATGATTTGATATGCGATGGATATTTGGATAATTTGGGAGCCCACCTGCAACCAACATCGACGTCCAAATGTGCAATTGTTTAGTTAAACTATTATATCTATTCATAACAAACATTGTTGTAAATAATGTAAATATGTACATCAGTTCTATTTTATAATAGGGCCAATGAATTGATTTGGCAATTGAGTATCATACGAAACTTGATCTATGCTATAAGCAGATTAAAAAATAGGATAACATTATCATTAAAAAGGAAAAAAAAAACAATAAATCAACATATGTATACCTTAATAAAATTTATGTATTGAGGTACGTTTTTAAATAAGTTCATTTTTTCTCTTTTTTTTTTATTTACACCAATACCCTGCGCTTGCAACATTAAATATAATTTGCAAACTGAAGTAATAAGAATCATATCAATGAAAAATACCTATTTTAAGAAAATACATTTAAATATTTATTTGTAAAAATCATCAAAAGTTAATTGAAAACAATTTTAAATAAATTTTTCTCAAAATGGAATATTTATAAGATAATGCTTCTAATTGTATAATTTATGTTTATATACAATTTACTAAAATTAAGTAAAAATAATTTATTATGATATTTATTCCTGCATTATGTGTGATTTAAAGTAAAAAAAGACGATTAATAAAAGATATCAATTGTGAAAAGAAATTTAATACTTTTACTACTTTTTTTATTACTTTTTAATCATTTTTTTGACTAAGATTAATGAGAAATTTAATTATGTTATGGATCAAATATCTTTTTAATTAATTTCTTACGATAAACAAATTTGTTTTAAGTGTAAAAACTATCTGAATTATTAACTATACATTATTAACTATTTATACTATATGAATGCAATAAATTCGTTTAGAAAAAATATAAAATTTTGAAAAAAATATTGACAATATTCGTTTTAATTAGTATTAAAATTAGCTATTCTGTATTTTTTAAATCTCATCTATCAATCACTAAAATTTAAACTCTTTTAAATAGAAATATTTTAAAATCGTATGAAGACTTCTGTAAATTCCCTATTCTCTGGCTAATTTATTTGTGATATAATAATAAAAGAATTATACTCAACAACTTATCTAATAGGAAAACTATTTTTCTATTGATTCTAAATGGGATTGAATTAAATCCCTTTTTTTTATTATCATATGGTATTTTTAAAATTGTTCTAAAAATGTTGCATGCTGTATAAAAATTTTTAAGTGATTTATTTTGTATACATTTATTATTTATTTATATACATAATTTTATATAGATAAAACCCAGATAGCCAGCCGTGTAAATGTCACAGCTGAACAAGCTGTGATTTTTATAGTTTAGATATTGTGCAAGTCAATGTCGTCAATTTTTGTTACAGCTTCAAATTATATTACAATGCTAGTATTAAAACAAAACTCTATGTATTATAACTTAAAAAATGCACGGTGGCTAGTATTGGGATTACCGAATTTTTGTGCCCGTTTCATTCTTGCACGTTGATTTCTCCCGTATGCGATTGCATTGTTAACATTAAAACAAAATTACGTGCTATAACTTTAGAATTGTACGGTGCTTTTACGCGTGACTAGTTTCGTGCAGAAATATTCAATATTAGCCGGTATTCATAATCGAATCTTATATTTAAGACCGTTTTAAGCGGGGACATCTCAGTAACTAAAAAAAAA